TCCCCGGCCCCGGGGGTGCCCGGCTGCCGCGGCGCTGCTGCAGGGGCAGGCAGGGTGGGCCCAGGCTGCGCTCGCTTCTCCCTCCGGCAATTTTGCCCTTTGTCTTGGAACAGGGAAAAGGGCTCTGATCTACCTGTTCCTGCCTTTAGTGGCTGTGCTGCCTTGGTGCCTCCCCGGGGTTAAAGCTCATTCCAAGACAGAGCCACTGATGTGTGGAGCCGCGATCAGGAGGCTCTTCCTGGGCCAGGGCTGCTCTGCAGGGTGACTCCCGGAGCAGCCCTGGTCTCAATGGGCCCTCACCTTCACCGGGCTGCGCCGCTTCTCTTGCTCTTCCAGAACTTCCTCTACAAGTGCATCGGGACAACGCTCGGGGCGTGCATAAGCAAGGACCTCGTGCAAAAGCAGCTCCAGGAGCTCCTGGAAACGGCCAGGTACCACGAGGAGGCAGAGCGAGAGGTGAGGAGGCTGGGCTGAGTGTCCCGGGGAGCTGCGGCGCCCTGGCCTCCCTGCTCCTGTCCTGCTGCACCACGGAGCACGGCTTCTTGCGGGACAGATCCGCGCAGAGGCCCCCGGAGCTGGAACGTAAGAACCAGCCACGACTCGTAGTGCAGCCTCGCAGCAGGAGGGCCCCGAAGCCTGATGAGATGTGGGGGCACCTTGGGGTGCGCCCCGACCTCCGGACCGGGCTGGGAAGCTCCCTGTGCCGAGCACATGGATGGAGCTGCTCCTTGGGTGAACCCTGGGGCACCAGGACAGGCTCTGCCCGTTTGGAGGCAGAAGTGCTTGGGTCCTGGGCCCAGCGCCATCGGGGTTAATGTGCCCACTGGACTGCACTGCTGACGGGTTCCACCTCGGGCACAGAGGTGTCCTGGCTGTCCTATTCCAGGGATCCCACTGGGCCTCTCTCCCGTGCAGCAAAGGCACAGCCAGCTGCGCCCCAAGGGCCCTGCGGCTCTCACTGCGTCCTGGCCCCACAGGTTTGGAGAGTTAAACCAGCACCACAGGGACGAAACCAGGAATTGTCAACCGGCCTGGCTGCCTGTCCTGGCCTGCCCTGTGCTCGGGTGGCTTTAGTGCCACCTCACCAGCGGAGATACAGAATGTCCCCACAGGGCCAGGGCGTGTGCCCGGCAGGGCCGCTGCTCCGGGCCCTTTCTCTGGGATTGGCCTGTCCCTGTCACGGGGAAGAGGAACCCAGCTCTTCCCGCTCCGTGGGGTTCCAGCTCAGGTCTCCCAGGGGCTGCACCTCGCGGCAGGGTGTCCTGCTGCTCTGCGGAGCATCTCCAGGCAGCGGGAAGCTTCCCTATCCCAGCAGCTCTTGACTGTCCCAGCGCAGCTCGGTGACACCTGTGACCGTGTCCCTGCACTGTGCAGTACCGAGCCTCATCCCAACCCTGCCCTGACACTGTCACTACCATCAGTGCCACCTGCCCTCCCTGTACACCCCTGGCTGCGGCCCGCATGTCCCCTGGCGCGTACACAGCTGCCTCTAAGTGCAGGGTAAACACGAGCCAACGGGGCCTGGCGCTGGTCCAGCCTGCGCAGCCCGTCCAGGGCCATCCAAATAAACCGTTCAGGGAGGTTCAGCCCGGCTTGCTGGCCCTCCCGGAGGCTGCAGCAGACGGGCAGCCCCGGCTCGGCGGCCAGGTGCTGTATTCCCGGGACACAAGTCCTCATCCGGAGGGCCAGGGACAGCTGCCGGGACCACGCTCAGCCGGGCACGGATCAGAGGCCCGGAATCGACTCCATAAACAGGCTCCTTCAAGGTGTCAGCGGGGCTGGTGGATTAATAGCTTTCTGCTAATGTGCTCTGTGCCTCCTCTAGGGACTCGCTTCCTGCTTTGGGATATGTGCAATAAATCACCTGGAGGAAACCCTTGCCAAGCTGGAAGACTTTGTTAGGTCTGATATCTTCAAGAAATCGGTGGGGCTGTTCAGTATCTTCAAGGTAAGAGCCGAGCTGTCCCTGCTGGGGCGCAGTCCGCGGCCGAAGGGGCTTCCTGAGCTGGGTGCGTGCTGGGGTTGTCCTCTGGAAAGGGCTTCATTTCCTGCTTCCGTGTACTCGGCGCGGGGCTGGAATCCCCTCGGCCGCCGCGGAGCCACTTGGCGCTGGAGCCTGCTGGAACGAGCTCCCAGCTCCACGGTCCTGCCGAGTCAGCCCCCGGGGGGCTGCCTGCGTGCTGGGTGGGCTCGAGCGAGCTCGGCCTTGGCTCCGGCATCCCTCGAGGGGAGCCGGGCTGCCGCAGAGTGCGGTTTGGCTGCTGCTCGGGGTAGGGTTGCGCTGGAATCCCCTCGTGGCCGCCGCAGCCTTGCGCAGGCCTCGCGAGGGGGGAGTGTTTCACGCCCAGAGTGTTGGCAGTAAAAGCCTCTCCTTGACCTTTCCGCCCCACACGGTTGATTTGGTTCCCAGCTTCTAAAACCGGGATTGCGAAGGGCAGGATTAGCGGCGAGTGCCCTTGAGAGCGCTGGCACAGATGCAAGTGGCAGAGCGCTGGGGTCCCCCGGAAAGGCGCTGGGGCTGACCGTGCCGTGAGCAGGGAAACACCTGGGAAATGCTCCAGCAACGGCAGCTCCGAGCGCTGCCGAGGCGCCCGGCCAGCGCGGGGCTCAAGCCCCCTCCCTGCAGGCGCCGATCCTAGGTGGTAAATCAGGACAGAGCCGGGTGAGCTGTGAGTGCAGCTCGTGCCCGACGCTCCGTCGGGGCGCTGGAAGGAGCCGTAGCCACCGGTGGAAGGGAAGCCCGGGTCCCAATCCTTGTGGTGGGGTCCCTGTTTTCTGGAGATGCTCCAGCCGTGCAGAGCCCCTGAAGAGGCCTCACGCCGGGTGCTCCGCCAGCCTCCCGCGGTCAGCGGCGTCGTGTGCCCCACCAGGACCGCAGCGACAGCGAGGTGGAGAAGATCAAGAGCACGCTGATCCTGTGCTACGGCTACGTCGCTGCGCACGCGCCCAAGGAGCTCGTGCTCGCCAGGATCGAGGCGGACATCCTCAGGAACGTCTTCCAGTACTTCAACACCAAGGTAAGCCGGGCTGCCCCCGGCCTCGAGAGCGGGCCCGCGACCGCAAGCACCGGGCGACCCACATTTGATCTGATTGTCAGTCCTTTGGCCCTTACCTCATCTAACCAGAACAATAATTCATTCCCTACCTGACTCATATTGGTAGTAGCTTTTTTTTTTTTTTTTTTTTTTTATTAACTTGTTCAGGTTCTGGGAATAAAGGTAGAAACCAAGGTACAGTGTGAGGCCTTAAATCTGAACTACTCTCTGCTCTTTCCTCCTGTTCCTGTCTGCCTCTTGCTCCAGGCGCCCCTAGAGCAGCTCCCTGAGCTGCCGCTCCCTTCCCGGAGCTTCCAAGTCAGGTTCCCAGTGCTGCAGGGAGCACCTGCAAGTGTCGAGACTCGCAGGCGAGGGCAAGTGAGAGCCACCTTGCTGGTAGGAGTGCATCGCAGGAGAGCAGGAGAGCACCATGCTGAGCCGGCCCCACGCGGTGCCCGCCCCGTCGAGCGCGCCGGGAGCCCCCGTGCCCCCTGGAGCTGCCCCCGTGTCCTGCCCGTGCACTTAGCCGGGGAGGTTAACGACTCCCGAGACTGAGCTACAAGCCACAGCTCAGCTAAAATTCACTAAACTAATTTCCCTGCTTCCCCCTGGAACAATCATTCAAGGGCCAGGTATTAAAACACAGATTACTGTCCTGGGGAGAACCGGGGGCTGGGCTGCACTTTTTTTTTTCTTTTTTTTAATATTTCTTTTTTAAAAAAGGCTGAACAACAAAAATGGCATTTGTCAAGTTGAAGTTAAGCTGTCAGGCCCGAGAGGCTCCCGCTTCAGGCTGCACTAATGCGTTTTCCTTCTGGGCTCCTGTTGGCACTAACCGCTTCTGCAGAGCTCACGCCGTCCCCCTCACAAGCGCCGCGGCCGCCTCGGCGCGCGCAGCCGCGAGCGGGGTGCCAGAGGGAGAGGAAGGGTTTTGAGCGGGGCCGGGGGCCCCGGCTCAGCCTGCGCACAGACGAGAGCATAAACAGGCCTTAAGAGTCATTATCCCATTTCCTGGAGCTGAGGAGGGAAGCGCCCTCCCCGCTGCGAGGCCCGCGTGCTCTTTGGAGGCCGCTGGCGCGCTGCGGCGAGGCAGGAGGGAGCTCTCTGCTGCTGCCCATGTCCTTGACAAACTGCCTATCCCCTCCATGGGGCCCTGCTCTCAGCCTGGGAAGCCACCGGCTTCCAGGAGAGACTCGGATCTCCCCTGGAGTGTGTGAGGCCCCAGACGAAGTCGAGGCTGTCCCGGACTGGAGCCCTGCGGGCGGGATGGCTCTGGGAATGTTGAGGAGCGAGGCCTGCGCCCCGCAGTGCCCGGAGCATTCACTGCCCTGGCAGAGCTCGACCCAGCAGCGCTTTCCTCTTGCTGCCAGGGAGCAGCACCTGGGCCCGGTGCAGTCAGTCTCCTACAGGGTGTCCAGCTGGGATGTGCTCTACTTGGAGCCTAGGATTGGGATAAGGAGCAGAGAGAGCTGAGCCCACACGCTGCTAAGGGCACAAGGGGAGGGCGCTGAGCTTGTGTCGGGGCCTGGGCCCCATGTTTCTGGGGGTGGCAGAGTGCTCAGGTGACAAACCTGCCTTCGCTTCTCACTCTGCGTCCCGCACTCAGGACCTCACCCTCAAGCTGTGCCTCATCCGGAGCATCTGCATGATCAGCAAGGCCATCTGCAGCGGCGGGAAGTGCGGGGATTTCATCTTCTCCCGCAAAGCGGAGCTCGTGGCCCAGATGGTGGTAAGAGCGCGGCAGGGAGGCGGTGGGAGGACGGGGTGGATGCTGCTCCTGCGAGGAGGATGGTTTCCAGCCCCCACTGCCAAGAGGGAACCAGGCGGCCCCGCTCCGTGCTGGAAGCCGTGCGCTGCCATCGGGACGTCCTGCAAAGGGCTGGCACGGGCTGCCACCAGCTCCAGCCCCACGTGGCCACTGGGCTCTGCTGGGCCATGGGGAAGGCTGGACCCG